TTTAGGAGTTTTGTCAAATCTTAACCGGATATTCTTATTTAAATTTTTGTATAAATTTGTTAACATATATCCACAAACATATACTCACATACAGATAGAAAAAATGAGAATAGTAAATTAAATTAGATCATTTTTTGGTACACTGCTTTCTCTTAGTGTTCATTAATTACGATCATATAAATTAGAACATTCTTTTTTTTTTTCTAATTTGTCAAGACAAATGATTTTTTTCTCTCGATAATTATATTCATTATTTTTCTTTCGAGAAACGGAAGTTAGGAATTCTTTTGAGATAATCAAAACACGTGTGTGGGTATTTGTTATACAATTTTTATTCGTTTTACCAAAAATTGTTAACATTTTTTTTATTTTTTTATTTTATTTTTTTTCCTTTTGGAAATAAGAAATAATATATATATATAAATATATATTATTATATATTATTATATATTATTTATTATTACATATATATATTATTAATAATATTAATAATAATTAATATAACTTATAATAATAATTTAAATATAATTATGAATAAAATTAAAATAACATTAATACAAATAATTTCAATATTATTACGATCATATAATTAATAAAAATATTATTAATAACGTATATTATAATAATATAATATATATGTGTGTGTGTGCCGTTTTTTATTAATAGATTTACATATGTCAAAATTAGAACATTTTAGAACATTGTATAAGATGAAAATGATAAAACTCTTCCTACGTCATTTAATTCAGTACTATCTTATAATTATCTTCATCAGTTCGCGTAATTTCGTAAAAGTCCCGTTAGACAACAACCGTTCGGTGGTTTCTTGTCTTTTCTATAAAATCATCCAAGAGATCTAATTTTCACTTAACAATTTCCCACGTTACTCGGCCGATTTAATTTCGGATTATTCTTCATCCATCGTAATCATTGTATATTCATTAAAAATATTTCACTTTTTAATTTTAAATTTATTAAAAGAGATAAAGAGAGAAAGAGAGTTTAAAAGATTGAAGATATACGTAGTATGATGGTACTACATTATAATAATAATAATAATAATAATTACTACATACATTGATTAAAATTCAACGCATGATGAAAGTGATCGGTTCGTTAATTTTATTTAAAATTATAGGATAAATTAATACAAAATTGTTCACTTACATTATTTTGATTAAAGTTATTAATATCAGGAATTAATTTATTACATTTTACTAGAAATAAAATAATAGTTTTGTGTCGAAAATATCATTAAAATTAGTATTAGAATATATACGTTTATTTGTCAATTAATAACATTAATGGAAATAATTTAAAAATTAAAACAATCTATAATAATTAATTATATATTAATTAAATATATATTAATCTATAATAATATATTAATATATATTTATTAATTATTTATAGTAATTTAATATTTATTATTTATAAAATTAACTATTATTTAATTTAATACTTAACATAAAATTAATAATAATATTTTTAATTTTTTTATTATTATTTATTAATTTTATTAAATTAATAAATATTAATAAATTAATATTTATTTACACACATACTAATATATAATAATTTATAATAATATATCATTTTCTTTTTTAATAAATAGATAAAGTAAAAAAAAAACATGTGTTTAACATATGTTAATAATATTATTAATTATTTTATATTATTAGAGGTTGTTCTCTTGTCGATTAAAGTCGGTTGAATCCTTTTCATACAAAACTTTCATGTTTGGCGCGTTCTTTGATGAGAGATACACGTGGTCACCAATACATAAAAGCAAGGATATGCGTCACACATATTACATACATGCGCATTACATCGTCTTTTCTCCCCGTAGGTCGACTCTCATAATCCCCACAGTCTACTTACCTACATTGCTGAGCTCGCACGCGCATCTACATTCATACACACACATACACACATATATATTATAAACATATAACTGAATATCACGAACTTCTCTCTTTCTGGTGAGATCTTAAAGTGTTTCGTGATATTCGATCACGATTTCATCCTCGATTGAAGCTACGATTTTTTTATTAAATAAGAAATCATCTTCATCAACAATTTATTGTTTCTTAGAATTTGTTTTTTTTTACAAAAAGACTCGAATCTTACAAGCTGTTATCTTTTTTTTATTTAATAAAACATTTATGATAGGATAAAAATTTAATAATTTGTTTTTTATTTCATTTTTATTTTATTTTATTTTTATGTTTATTTTGTTTTTGTTTAATTAATTTAGGTTTAGTTTTATTGTTATGTTCTAGAATTTGTTGTTTTTTTACAGAAGATTCGAATTTTATAATCTTTAAGCTTTTATCTTTGTCTAATTAATATGAAATTTATTTATGATAATATAAATATGAATATTAATATAAATTTATTTATAGAAATCTAATAATTTGTCTTTTATTTTATTTTTATTTTATTCTATTTTTTTTTTGTTTTTCTTTAATTAAGTTAGGTTTAGTTTTATTAAGTTATGTTCCAGAATTCTTTGTTTTACAGAAAATTCAAATCTTACAAACTTTTATCTCTTTCTATTTAGTATGAAATTTATTTATAATAATATAAATATTAATATTTTAATATAAATTTATTTATAAAAATCTAATAATTTGTTTTTTTATTTTATTTTTATTTTATTTTACTTTTTTTTTGTTTTTCTTTAATAAGGTTAGATTTGATTATGTTCTGAAGTTCGTTGTTTTTTTACAGAAGATTCGAATCTTCCATGCTTTTATCTTTTTCTATTAAATATAAAATTTATAATGTGATAAAATTCAAGTCGTCTTTTCTTCTATTTTTATTTTATTTTTTATTTTTTATTATTTTTATTTTATCTTTTGATATTTTTTTTTTACAAGAAAAAATTGTGAAAATCAAAGTGGCAATGATCTTTAACGTATTATTTTACTCAATGATAATTTAATGAATCATTTTTTCTTATTTTAATTCAGATATTTGTAATATTAATAACAATAATAAAAAAAAATAATAAAAGAAAAGAAATATATATATATATATATAGACAAGGAAGGAACAAGTGGGGTCGAGCGGAACGAATCAGTGAAATCTCTTTTGCTACTTGGCACGTTGAAATCGCAATACCATAACGTGCGAGGATTCTCTTATTCCCCATTGTAAGTTAAAATTGCTGTTACAGTGCTGCAAAGAGAAAGAAAGAAAAAAAGAACAAGGAAGAGAAAAAGAAGAAAAAAAATGTGAGACAAAAAGATAAAAAAAAGGGAGGAAGAAAGCAGTTCCTATAAAAATTTGCATTATTCCTATGTATTAGTGTAATCCCTACGAAAGAGTGAGGGGGGGGGGGTGTTAGTTAGTACATAATACACAATCCGATCTATACCATTCCATTTATACTCGTTTCCTTCACTTTCCTATGTAGTTTCCGGTTTCTTTGACGCACAAAACACGTTTTTAAGATTATACACTGCGTGTGTATGTATGTGTGTTTATACATGCGTGAACGCAACTACTCTCGTTCTTTCTCACACACACACACACACACACAAACACACACACACACACACACACATACATACATACACAGACACACAGAACATATGAGGTACATATGTGTATTCTCTTTGGCACGTAAATGGCACGTGAAGCTCACTAAGAGAATCATTCAATCTGTATTCTCGTGTGAGAAAGTCTCAAAGCCTGGCCACAAATCGACTCGTTCTCGACCTATACATCGAAACACATGTACACACACACATACATTGATATGAATACGGACACATATGTCAGAGAGATTCGTTTTCCTCGTAGCCTTTAACGTTAAGATCAACTCATGTACGCGCGCGTGTTCCTTTTTTCTACACGAATAGTAACAGGGGGGAAAAGGGGAGGAAGTAGAATGCGAATAGGCGAAAGGATGAGAATTAGGAATCTTGGAATGGAATAGATTTCTTCATTTTCATATTTTATTTAATTATTTATTTATTTATTTATGTATGTATACTATTAGGATGAAGAAGATATATATATATATGTATATATATATATATATATATATAATAATAATAATAATAATAATAATAATAATAGTACCATAATGATTAATATTATAGGAAAGATTGAATTTATTTGCATTTTATTATGATTTGGGAATATTATTTTTTTTTTATTAATATTATATATTTAATTGTGTTATTAATGATATTTTATAGAATACTAATATTATAAAAAATATTAAATTTAGTTGCATTTTATTATAATTTGGAAATAGAAGAAGAAGTTTATTTTTCAGGTATACCCCTTTAGGGTGTTTACCCCGAAGGCCCCCCCTACATATAATTTGGAAATATTATTTATTTATTTTTTATTAATATAATATATTTAATTATGTTATTAATGATATTTTATAGAATGCTAATATTACAAAAGATATTAAGTTTAATTGGATTTTATTATAATTTGGAAATATTATTTGTTTTTTTTTATTATTATAATATATAATATTGTTTAAAAAATTATAAATATAAAAAATAATAATATATTTATTATTATTATATATATATATATTTTTTTATTAATGATATAATATTTTATAGGATGATATTGTTTAGAATATTTTTGACACATTTATATTAGTAAAATAAATTTATAACACGTATCTCTAATAAAATTTATTAAAATAAATGCACATATATATAATATTCAATCAATATAATATTTAATCAATTGTAACATGTGTTATCTATTTAATTTATAATAATTATTAATACTGATCATATAAAAGAATATTATAAATGAACTTTCATTTAAAGAAAAAAAAATCCTTAGATATTATGAACTCTGAACCATTCAGAAGGAAAGAAGTTATTCTTTGAAATATGATTAATTATATTTAATAAAAATAATTATCGATTCATTGAAGAATATGGTAATATATGTGAGTAGGAAGAAGAGTCTAGTTCCGCGTACGGCACACATAATCTGTGGAAGGTTCGAAATGATTCTCACGGAGTGACCCACTTCTTGTTATACTCGTATGCCATTGACTGCTACGATATACTATACTCATACATAATTTTTCTTTTTTTTTTTTTTAACGTTGTAAATGTACGAACGTACGAACTTTCATAAATTTTCAAGCGTACCAAAGTGGTTATGCGAAAATACATCGTGTAAAGTATTTCGCATAGTCATGCGGAACATATTCGCAAGCATGTTGTAAGCGTTACATAGCAGAGAATGCGAGATCCACTTTGAATATATAAAATAAGATCGATGCGTTTCAAATTGGAAGTAAAAAAAGCATTCGAGAGATTCTCATGCAGGTGTCAAGTATATTTTATAAGCATATAACATAAAAATTCAGTGTCACGTTGTTGGTTTTCAATATACTTCGAAATTACTGAACCGATCTTATTGAAATTTTTGTTATTTTAGATGATTTTTTCAACTTAGTACATAAGATAGTTTTTATCGCAATTATTTTGTATTTTTTATTGCTAATTTAAGGATTTAATTAATTAAAGGTTATCTAGGTCTTTAGAAACTTACTCTAAGTTTTCAATAGATGGTGTTATATTACAATTCAATTATTTCCTAACCTTGCTTTTTATATTTTTTTCTATATTATTATTTATTTAGTTATTTTTATATAGTTAGTATTTTTATATAGTTGTTATACCTAGATAACCTCTAAATAAATTTAATAATTAATTCTATTTAGTAAATTAATAATTATATTATATAAATGTATTAATATTCTATTTTTACTAAATAGAATTATTTAATAAATTTAATATTATATGAAAACACTATTTTGTAAAAAACCCACAGCAACGTGTGGGAGTATCCTAGTATATATATATATATATATATATATATATAAAGCAAAAACAAGAACGTTTAACATTTTACACGAATGCTTTCTTTTTTAGGCCTCGGTGTTGTTAGTATTGTTGACATGTGTCATTGGTACACTTTCATCATCGGGCAACAACGATCGGGCCATTCCAAATTCGGTAGAACGAAATCGAAGATACGCCTTAAGCGAATTTCTGATTCCACCGCCATTACCACAAACGCCATCACGCGTATTTCCCGGAGGAAGGACTGGCCGTACTTCTAATCCACACCCTGTTGAATCACCCGGTTACTTCTCAAAGTTTATTAATTGGTTTAATCCATTTGCAAGTGGTACTTCTGTTGAAACACTACCACCACCACCACCTCCACCTCCGGATACGCTTCATCCACCAAAGTTTCTTCAATCGCACATACCACCTTTACCACCACAACAACCTGGACCACTACTACCACCAGTACAACCACCATCAATACCATCGTCTTCTGGATTTCCATTAGCAACTTTACAAATTTACAATGCACCAATACCTCCTGTTTTTGACAGGCCACCTTTACCGCAACCACCAACGCCTTCGGATATTTACAACAAACTTAAACCACAAGTTAAAGACAAGAATTGTAATCCTTGCAACAAAGCTCCATGGTTGCCCATGAATTATCAAGGAACATATCTTCCACCTCATAATCAAGGATTAATCGCTGCTGCATCTCAAGAAGTTAAAGTACCTGATTTCTTTTACGCACCACCATTGTTACCTGAACAAAATGGACAACATTCGTCGATAGGACCATTACCTAATCCACATTTGTATCCAGGACCAATGCCACCTTTATTCAAAGCAGAATTATTCGATTATAATTCACAATCGAATTATCCAGTTAATGGAAATTTACAAAACCATGAAATACCTGTATCATCAAGTGGTTTACTTGAAAGTAGTTCATCTTTACCATTACTACCGATCTATCAATCTAACAATTCTGGTGATAAGAATTTGGGTATTCCACAAGAAGGACAAACCATTTATGAAAGCCATCAAGTGTCCGATACGAGATTAAGTCAAAATGATTTTGCTAATCAAGGTTATTCGAATACTCAAATTTCTAGTGGAGCTCAAATAGATTCATTTTCAAGTGCTTCTCATAATAATCAACAAGGATCCATAGCTTATCCAAATCTCAATCAAGAAAATGATGGCACGTTGATTAAACAACAACACATTGATGAAGTTACTAGAATAAATCAATTTTCTGAACCTGAACATTTTGGTAATAATCAACAACAATTCGTTGATACTTCAGGATTGGATTTTCAAAGGACAGATCAAATAATTTCACCGTCTGCAATAGGAAACGATCAGTCTTACGTTTATAGTAATACAGGATCGGGACAACAAACTTACAATGGTGATATTATTTCGTCTAATATTGGTACGGTGAAAGATTCTCATGCATCTGGTACCGATGGTTTTACAAATGTTGAAAATCCGATATACTTCGAACAATCTCCATTGACCGATTTAACTAAAACTAGCGAAAGTCGTACGGATTCACCCACAATATCATCATCATCTTCTAGTTTCGTTGATATTGATGAAAAATTGAGTACACAGACACCAACGTATTATGAAACAACTTCGAATCCATTCCAAGATGAAATTAATCGATTGGCATTATTGGATAACAACAATAATAACAATAATAATAATAATAGTAGTTATTCTAATTATTTAACAGAAAGTACCGTAATCAGAGATTTGTTTGGAATCAATCCAATTAATGAACAAAAGTGGATTAATAACAATAATAATAATAAAAATAATGATAATAATAATAATAATAATAATAATAATAATAATAATAATAATAATAAAGGGAATACGTTGATTAACAAAGGTTTGCAAAATTTGGAAACTTCGTTCATTGCACCGCAAGCTCAATCAGCTGCTGATTCCTGGTTGGTTGTTTTGTCGACAACTATGAGAACAATCCAGGATGAAACTTTGTTAGATAATTTAGGTAATAACAATTATGCTAATGTACAAAATCATAGTTTACAACAATACGGTGGAAAGAGAAATAAACAGGTAAAAATGAAAATTTAGTAAATTAATTTGTGTGTGATTAATTTTTATTTTAATAATTGAATCGTTGAATTAGATAAAAATATTTGTAATATGATATTTAATTTGATATTAGGTACAGGTAATAATTCCATATACGTCACAATACACGCCATTACCTTTCCATTCATCTTACGATAATAAAGATAACGTTGAACGAACACAATCACGAACAATATCGTTTGACGATGTATCCAATCGTGACAATTATGTCAGTCAAGAATCTCGAAATGAGAATAAAGTGATAAGTTTACCAGAACCAGTGACAATTACCAATGATTTTAATACGTTGAACGATCATACGAAGAATATTGAAACAACTACTCAACCCATTTCTAATATTATTACGAAAAAGTTTAATAATTCTATAGACGTTCATAGATTGCAAAAAAATATTGACAATTGGACTATACAGGTATGGAAATTTTATTAATAATATAAAACAAGAAAAATACTTTTCTATGAAATTTTGTTTTTGATTAGGAATATTCACGTGGTACAACGTTTAGTACCATATTACCTAGTTCTTCTCGTCCATATTTACAACCATCGAAAAAAATACCCCACGAATATTTTACGACAACTGAATCTGTGGAACCATCGAAAGATCATGAAGAAAATGTTAAATCATTTGCATTGGCTGGATTTAGTTTTAACGATATCGAAGATGAGGGACCTAATTCGTTCGAAGAAACTCGAATACAGGTGATAACGATACCTTTATTGATTTATTATTATCAAAATATAGAAAAAAAGAATATATATGAGATAAATTAGTTAATTAATAATAAATTGATATTACAATTTGAATTTTAAATGAATTGTTTCAACTAAAAAATTTAAATTTTAAATTGAAATGAAATAAAATACTTGTTTAATCACTTCTATTGAAATTGTCTGATGAAACAAAATCTGATATTGAAATTTCTATATGAAATATATAATATTTTTTTTATTCTGGTTTAGACTGTACGCGTAGAAAATCCAACGATTAAAAATGAATCGAATGAGTTTAATGTAAACGAAAATAAATCGAAATCCAACGAATCAGAAAATTCTTGGAAAGATTTTCCAGTATCGATTTCAACGATCGATAAAGAACGAGTATACGTGGTGACACCTCAAACAACTACGACAATTGCAATGAAACTTCAAAAGGAAGAAAATAAATCTACCATAATAAATAGTTCCCAGAAAAAAGATAATAATAATAATAATAATAATAATAATAATAATAATAATAATAATAATAATAATAATAATAATAATAAAGAAGTTTATACGAATAATGTGAAAAAAAACAAGCAGGATGAATTTGAAAAGATAGAACGTGCCTATCAAGTTTTACCTCAAGCTGTAAATAATTTAGCAGTTGCTTCGACAGGTCCTGAAAACCTTCCTTTATGGGGTATAATGGAACATGAAGAATTTGCATCGTTGACACAGAATCCTGACGAGAACAATGATGATGAATCGATTGTTGCACCTATCCTTTATTCAGGACATTCCAAGGTATTTGTATTTTTTTTATATTATTTCTTTTATATATATTTTTTTTATTATTTATATTTTATTTATAATATTATATATTATATTTTACATTTTTTTATTTTTTATTATTTAATTTAATTATATTATTATTTATATTATAATTTATTCTAAATATATATTTTTTATATTTTTTTTTATTATTTATATTTTATTTTATTATATGACTGTTTCTTGATTCATCTCAAATAATTTTATATAATAACTGATGTGTTAATTATTGTTACCGTAATCGATTGTTTTATATATGTTATTATTAATAATATTATTATTTTAATTTTAGGTTTCACGTGCTAGACGATGACTAGATAAATGGATGTTTGATTTGTATAGATAAAGACATTATGTGCTTTTGTTTTATCTCTGATATAATTTGTGCAACTCGTATTATAGATAAGTAATATTTGCACGATCGTCGAGAAACGTTCTTAATTATTAAAACTTTCCGTTCGATGTGAACATGATGATGATGATGATGAAGAAGAAAATAATGATGATGATAATGATGATGATGATGTAGAAGAAAAGAAGAAGAAGAAGAAGAAGTCGGTCAGGTGGTAAGTCAAGAAAACACGGACAAACCACAATTTCTCATAGTTGAGATATTTAATTTAAATATAAATCGATAAGAGTAATTATATTTAAGATTAGTATTAAACTCGAATGTGTGATTGATAATGAATGATGATTATGATAATGATGTTGATGAATATGATGACAAGTTGAGAATATCAAACACTAATAATTAGTGTTTTGTTATTTTTATTATCAGCCAATACATTATGTAATATTAATTAGTTATTTATCTCGAATATGTAAAAAATATTTCAAATGCCAGACTTGCGACCATAATTAATAATAATAATAATAATAAGGCGTTTATAATATTTTAAATATTTTTATACGTCTCACTATACTACGTTGTATTCATTTCCATTCGTTTCTAAAAATTTGTATCTTTTTCTCAGGGTCATTGAATTTTTTTGTTTTCCATAATAAAATCATTAAAAATTTTTTATACATTTAAAAAAAAAATAATAATTTGTTTATAAAAGTAAATTTAATAAAAAATAATTTAATAATAAAACAATTTATTATGAAATAAATTATTAAATAAATTAAGATGTAATTTAATTTTACATCTTTATATCTAATTTTTTTCATTTAATTAATTTTTAACACGAGAGAAATTATTTTTTCAATATATATATATATATATATATATATATATATATATTATATATTTATATATTTGTAAAATCTTGAACAAATAATACGTGTATGAAATATTCATGAAGAAACTCGACAATTGTGATTCCTATCTCATCGATCTTACGTGTGACATGTTGTTTTCTATTCGTTTCAAAAACAAAAAAAAATTGAGTTTTACTTCGATGTAAAGTCACTTTCGCCGATTTCGAAAAAAATAAAATGCTGGACGCCAGCCAAAAAGGTGATCATACCAGGTGATATTTTAACTAAACAACATATCAGTCGTTGTTGTTGCGTGCAACGCATAAATGCATAAATGTAATAATTGACTTGACATCGGTTTATACTGAATTTTCTATGGTGAAAGGAGAAATTACAGTATCCGGACATATTTGGAACGCATGAACACATGTTAGTGCGTGATTTTACTACAACATTGGACAAATTATTAGAAGTTACCTATCAAGCTGGGTCAGTATGAACATTTATTTTAAACTATCAATTTATTAATGACTCATTACTAAATATAATATCATATTATATTTATACATAGTAATTTAATTTAATTATACAACGATGATGAATCATTATTTCAAGATTACCTGTAATTTTAAAACAAAAGACTTTCACATATTTTCGTATGAATAAATATTTACTATTTTTTTTTTTTCAAATTTTATTAACCAGTAAACTGTGGTGTCCTCGAATCGAGCTATGACGTGTATACTCGTCAATACGACTTCTACGTGACGAGTATACTTGTCAATCACAGTTAACTTGATTAAAGGGTAGAATGAACAAATTGTGTGTCATTTTCTTGTGTCAAAAAATACAATTATATATTTTTGTTTTTCAATTTTAATAGTATATACTATACATGTGCCCATAATTATGAAAGTGGTCTAAGTCATGTATCTATTGTTTCGAGATATTTAAAGATTTATACTTGAACACTATATGAATTCTATACAATATTGAAAAATGGAAGGATCGCGCTCAGGGACAGGAACAATGGCGGGATTTGGTACTTGCGGCAATGAACTTTCGAGTTCCTAATGCCAGTTATTAATAATGATAATAATACAATATTAAAATAACAAATATTATCTAACGATTCATTTTTGATAATATCGTGAAAATTACATTGAATTTATTTAGTTTATAATAATGTAGTGCGTAATAACTGATAAACTCATTTTTTATTAATTTTGATTTATACCACTTTCATAATTATGGGTACATATATGTGATCATATCTTTTTTAAATGGAAGGAAAAGTATTTTTCCCATTTTTTCACGATGTGTTTCAACCTTTTTTTTTTCTCTTACTTTTAATAAATAAAATCACACGTTTTGCACGCGTGAGAAATCTCGTTACGAATGAAACGTGGGAAATAAATGAACCCCATTGTTTTCCTACGTGGCATCTCAATTTCTTAGTCTTTTGCTTTTGTAATTAGATACATTTCTTTTAATAAATGGGGTAATTATAACAAGGACACGATTTTAATTAAGGTCATCATTGTCAGAGATGGTATTTTATTTTCATTTTGAAAAATGACAGGAAAAGAATTGAAGAAGAAAAAAAAGTAAATCATTCGAAATATTATTATTATTATTATTATTATTATTATTATTATTATTATTATTATTATTATTATTGTATTTTTTATAAATTAAAATTTGATTATAATAATTTATTTACAAAACGAATAAATGTATAATATAAATATGATTTTTTTCTTTGATATTTATTCGTCAAGTTTTTTCCTCGGTTAAATCTTGTTGCAATATTTTCGATCTAAGTTTAGTTCTACGTAAAATGATCAATTCCGTTAGCCATATAGTGACGGTCAAGGCCGACATACTATTAATTACTATAATACAGGGTGTGTAACTTCCCACTGCATCTCTAATTACACCTATGGTACAAAGAATATTCACTCAACGTTGTTGTTTTACGCTTTCTACTTAATCGTGGTAAGAAAAATAAAAATACAAAAAAAAAAAAGAATTGAAAATTGTACCTAAAAGTGGTCCAGCACTTAACATGATGAATCCATTTACAGTCATCTGTATAGCAGAAGCATAATGTAAATCTTTAATTGGTACATAACTTGGTATTACAAGTGTCATATAAACTGATCTTATTCCTTTAGCAATACCCAAACCAACGGCAACAATTATTACTTCTGTTAGGGATCGCGTAAATATTAAACCTGTTTTATAATAGAAAAGAAAAAAAACAATGTTGAATAGACCTGTTATAAGAAATAATAATAATATGTAAATTGTTGTATTTTTTAACCCTTTGCAACTCTGTAGATGCCGCTATTGCACCAGTAGCTTTCAGTGCAGTTACAAAAACAGGTACAGTAAGTGTAATTTTGCGTTCAATAATTAGAAGATTCTGTGTTCAAAACATCTGTAATTTATATTTGTATTAATATAATTTATATAATATTTATATTTATTATATTTTATTAATATAATATAAATATAAATTTATATATTATATAATATAATATAAATTTATTTTTGTATTAATATATAATTATATTTAAATATATAAATATATTTAATAATATATAAATATATTTAATA